TTGGTTGGTTTTGGTTTTGTTGTTTTTACCAGCTTGCATATGTGTGTTTAGTTTGAAAAGGTAGAATTTGCTCTGAATATCAAGGCAATTTCAGCTTCTGCAAGAGAAAGCTGCTGAATAGGTAGCCAGAAAAATATAGTCTCTATTATCCTCAATTAAAAAAAAAAAAAAAGTCACCCTCTGGGGATTTGCATACGAGTCAGACTTGGTGCTGAGGTGGGTGGTTCCGGCTGAGAGGCAGCGCTATTCTTAGGCGTCTGCGCTGAGACGAGCGCGGTGGAAATTGCTCTCTGCTGCCCTAGGACCCCAGAATCAGTTCTTGTAACGGGGAGCCCCTGTCTGGTCCAATTTCCCAAACCTGCGTGAGAAGATCCGATCATCAGACCTGCCCGCCTGCTTCTCACGGCCGATCACACACGCTGCTTCTGTCGGTCTGGAAAAGAATTGCCTTTTTAGGGAATAGAGACTTTGGGGGGGTTTCATTTGTTGATTTCATTTTCCTTGCCCACTCTTTTGTTCACCCAAGTGTTATTAGTGGATACATTTTTTTCAAAGTAAAACTGGTGCCTTTTCCATTCGCGTAATCACATGATGGAACTGAGTTTCTGGTCGTAGGCTCTAGAATGCAATCGAAGCCACATTAAGGATGAATTCATCCAATTCTGAGAGGAGTCTTCGGTGCCTGGTTAAACATAGTTACTATAAATTTGTAACTTGAAACATCGAAAGCTTTTATTAATAAGCCTTTGTAAGATTGGAACTGTTAAGATTTTTTTTTAATTTATCAGACTATGTAAGTTTTGAAAAAACACATTTATTTTTAAGCTTTCATATGGATTCCTACAGTCACAATTTCAGAGAAACCTGTAGCATAATGATGTTTTGCTCTCATTATTGAAACTACTTTAGAATTAGTGGAACAGGTGAGATCACATTCAAGAGGAGAATTCCCCTCAAAGTAGCATTTTTATTGAGACCCTTTTCCTGTTAGTATCTCAAGTCCTGGACTGTGTAAGCAAAACATATGTGAAGAAAGTAGATATGAATGTTCTTAAATTGTTCTAAATTGGTGCATATTGCTCCATCATTTTGTCATTTGACCATTTAACACAAAGAACTCAGGATAGAAAAGAGATGGGTATCTTATGTAAGGCTAGTGAATTTATAAATGAATGATAGAGATGAATTTTCCTAGGCATGGAGGTAAACTCAAGGGAAATATTAAGCCACTCTCAAAGAAAACAAAGTGAGAATATATTTGGGCATTAAAAAATATGAAGGCCGAGTATATATGAGATATATATGGTATTATTTGATTTTTCTACTTCAATATGTACAGCTGCACTTGAGAATTTCTTTTAAAAAACCATAGCTTTTTCAAAAAAGATGATCTCTCTAGGATTATTTATATATGTATATGAACAGAGGCATACATGTTCTGAATAAAAATTGCTCCTAAAATGAAAACAGAAAAATTTGGAGACATGAACTACGCCATCAGTTCCTGGACTTGGAGATTTCGTAGATTAATGTTTTATCTTTAAAAACAAATGAAGCATATAGGCTCATAAGGAATGGCTTTTTTTATAGCAAAGACATTACACCTTTATCAAAAACTCCCTACACTGCCTTTCTATTTTTCCCATAAGCAAAGGGTAACAAAGTTATGAAGCCCGTCATTGTAATCTCTGAGCTAAATAGTTAAAATATTAACTACTTGGCAGACTAAAAGAAGTGCCAATTATAAATCAGGTTTTTTGCCTCCTTTTCTAAGGATGCATATAAAATCTTGTGTGATTAATCCCACAACTATTAGTGGCATATTCTTAAAATTACCTTCTGAACCTCAAGATTTCATTATTGCGCAAATCAGCTTAAAAATAAATCTCAAAGTAACTGCATTGTTACTCTCTCAAAGCAAAATAGAGAAAAAAAGGGTGGCAATTAATCTCATTAATCCTGAGACAAGAAATTGGGTAACACCAAAACAGCACATTTTATGGTTTTCCCATAAATGAAATTTGACTGAAATTTGCTATATGGCAGTCTTCTATCTGTAAAGAAGCAAATTAAGATGTGTGGCCAAAAAGCCAGCTCTAGTGGTGGACATTCAATATGTCGGATGCCTGTTACAATGAAGATAATGTTCTACTGTCACATGACAGAACACTTCTTAAAAATTCAGATTTTAGGATGCTTTAACAAAAGCAAACTTCATGGAGCTATTGGCCCCTAATAAATTACCCAACTTAGGCAGCTAAAGAATGTCCAGATCTTGTCAGCATCAAACATGTACCAACCAATTCCTTGATGTTTACTAGACCTACCTGGGCATTGACCCCCAAAAATGGAGAATGCAATTCTATCCTGGAGCAAGGTCAAGTGTGTGACCTCTGCCTCCACACCCAGGAGCAGGCTGAAGATGGTCTTCTCGAGGGGCTACCTTGGGGTGCATGGTGCACTGCAGTTCTTGGGGACTTGGGTCCATTCCCATCACTAAGAGACAGTGTCAGCTATTGACAAGATCTTCAAGGCTGAGACAAACGTGGCAACCATGGACAAGTTCACTTCCATGCTTCTTTCCTCCTTGCAGTGCATGGTAGCTAACAATTGTTAGTCCTTGGGCCCCTACATTTTTCAGATAGGTTGTATACATTTTAGTGAGTTCCTGAATAGTGCTGCCTGTCTCAAGCACAATCTATATATTGGCTTCTCTTTGTTTTAGATCATTCATGGGGAGGCAACAATCTAGGTTATTCCAAAATTCACATGGATCCTTCCTGACCGAGCCAATCACTCCCACATCCCACAGGTGGCAAGTCTCTCCTGAGTGCACAATTTCACACCACATCGTAAATGAACGCCATGACCCATGTTTAGGTTAACATTCTGATTTATATATTGTGATCACCACATTTCTGATATTCTTAATTGTCTACCTATAGAGTTAGAAATTTTATGAGCTCAGATCTTAATTCTCCTATAGAGGTATGCCTATGCCTGTACCTGACAACTTTAACTGAGAAAAAGTTTTCACTGCTTTCATTTATCACTAAATAGTAACTTACAGCAATAAACACTAATCCAAGTGGGGGTGAGGGGCTGATTTGCCTGTTCAAATCACCAAAGAACATAGTGATTTTTTTTAATTAAGGGGAGAAAAGAAAGCAAAAATATACCATATTACTTCCACCAAACAGATCTATCTGCAAGGAATGCATTGTAGTTAATATTGGTAACCACATAAATACCCTCTGTGGTTCAATGAATCTGCTATCTCACCCTCCACCTCCCTGCCCCCAAGTTATTTTACATATCCTAGGACACATTGGTGATAAATTGGGCATTCTTCTGTTTTTCTTACCTAAAATAGTTGTTTGGTGGTTAATTTGATTACACACTTCTTGCATGCTGTGCTTTCAAGCATTAAGAATTTAAATTTATTTCACTATAGAAACATGAACCAAAAGTACCAAAAGGTGATCATGGATAAGAATTGAGCCCAACAGGTAAATTAACCTAATAATGTTTCAACATTTCTTTTGCCCCAGCGTTACCCACTCACTGCAACATTTAGGTGGGTTGCAGACGATAGATCAATCAGGCGGATTTTTCTCCTTTTTACTTTAACCATGTGTAGTCTAACACATGAGAATCCAGAAAGTTCCCTATACACTGTATTTCTAATGTTTCTTTGGGAATTTCAGTATTTTGGCCCTTCACAAATTTTAGAGAAAACTTCCTGTTAAGAGGAGGAAATTGTGCTTATTATCACACATTTAACTGATTTAAATAACACAGTTAACTGATTCAAGCATGAGAAATCATGGCGGTGGCTAGTGGTATGTTCATTTTAAAAATGTTTATAGTTGGATTTAATTTCATAATATCCAGTTGGAAAAAGATCACCAAATTACTATCAAGAGATCTGAGAATTCCTTTCTTTCTTACATTAAAGAATTGATTCCTATTGTTTGGCCACTCCATAAAAACACTGCTTACATCAACTCCCAAACCCTTCCTCATCTACGGAATATGTGGAAACTGAGGGTTTGCGTAAGAAATCTAAGGGATGGGTGTGACATCCTCATCTACTGATGCATGCCCATAACCCATCATAATGTAAAATTGTCAACCAGGCAGGTACACAAAATTAAGATCAGGCCTCCCTTGGTGGTGCAGAGGTTGAGCGCTGGGCTGCGAGGCTGCCCGCAGCCTCTGCAGCACCGGTTCGATCCCCGGCCACCGGAGAGGGTCCCACATGGGGAGTAGACCTCTCCTGCCGCCCACTGCTCCCCTCAGCAGTGTATTTCGTCAGTCTGCCTGTTATGCTCTCCACTCTGTCTCTGGTTAATTCTCTCACCTTCCCGCATTTCTGACTCTACCCAGTGCTTGAATAAATAAATCTTTGGAAAAAAAAAAAAGATCTTTCCATGGAGATCATAAGTTTGTACCGTCTTATAGGTACACAAATAGGCCTGGGGTTTAGAAGTGACATAGAAGTCATACAAGTCAGTGGTGACAAAACCAAGCCAGGAATGCCATTCCCATTAAGGCCAGTTCCCCTTCTGCCTTCACCTTGCAGCCTCCTGTCACCTGTGCACGGTGCTCTGGTCCCTGGACAGGCTCCATCGCCAAGATGAGAAATAAAGGGAGAAGGCAGCACGATCAGCAGTGGTTCCCCAACTTAGACACATACGATGTTTCTACAATATCTTATAATTGCCTTCTTCCCAGTCTTCAAGCTCAAATCCATTGTTCATCAAGGTGTTTTACTCAAATAACTCTTAAGTAAATTAACTACACCCCCATTTTTATAGGGTTCATAGCTGTCGCCACATTAAGTTTTCAGTCTAGCCTCTTCCAAAATGATTGGACAGTTACAGCTGATTCTTTTTAGACAAATTAGGTCTATAAAAAAGTGAGATCCCCTCCCTCTACCCAAGTATCTCCAAGGAAAAAGGTCGATAGGGTGTTCTTCTCAAGGTAGGCCATTACCCAAGAGGGGGAGGTGGTAAAGGAAAACCAACGGTCTTTATCACTTCTTTTTAATTGTTTAACTTTATTACTGTTGCACCATTTATACAATTACATATAATTTCAATGCATCCATTGTACATTTTTTTGTTTTTTTTTTATTTTTATTATTTCCATTTTCCAATGAGTGGTGTGTTGGTGTCTGTGACACAGAATGGAAGAGAAGCTGCAACTGCAATGAACGCAGACTTTTTTTTTTTTTCATTTCCACTGACCAATAAACAGAACTACAGGTGCACCCAACCACGGACATGCATTAACTCGTCATGAGAAATCTAGGGAGGCTAAGTAGGATGAGAGAATGTTTGTTTACTCCCAAAAATACCTGGGGAGGAAGAATGGAGTATTGGCATCGAGATACATGTGGACACGCTAAGTGGGCTGTCTGAAAGTTGGCATTCATCCAGGACATTAAAAAAAATATCAAAATAAGAAAGGCTGTAACTGAAAAGGAGAACACAGAAAATACTGCTTTCGTGAAGATGTGATTGCCTTGGCACAGGCCCTGTGGGCAAGAATCGAACACCTCACTCCTCGCTCCCCCGAGAAGCCCGGGGGTTCGGCTCGGAGTGGCGGCGTGCAGGTCGCAGCAGTTCGGGTACAAGGATGTACGGACTTTCAGACATGGAGCTCTCGAATCCAGGACGGATGGGCAGAGTTGACTGAAGGTATATTAGATATTTCCCCACAAAAATACTATTTGGATTCTCCCCACCCCCTCCCTCCCTTGATGGGACATCCTCTTTTTTAATTTTTCCTTTTTCTTGGGCAATACATATCATGACTTCCAATTCGAAACAAGTTAGTATAGGAGAGAGAGAGACAGAGAGAGAGAGACAGAGAGAGAGAGACGGGTGCTGGGCCGCTGGTTTCCCCTCAGGCTGTCCTTGTTACTCCTTCACGGCCACGGTTTGCTCCGAGTTAGCGGCCGGGGCCTCGGCGGCCTTAAGCTCGTCCGCGGGCGCCGCGGGGGCCTGGGCCTTGGCCGTGGAACTGGGCGCCTCCGAGGCTGCCGGGGCCTCCTTGGCGGCGGCGGCGGCCTCGGCGCTGCCGGGTTTTGAGTCTGAAGCCGCGGCCCCATCGCTTTTCGCCTCCGGCGCGGCGGGGGCCTCAGTCTTTGTGGGTTCCCCGCCCTCCTGGCTCTGCTCCTCCGCCTTGGGCGCCGCGGGCTCGGCCGCGGCCTCCGCTTCCGGGGCCTGAGGCGCGTCTCCCGCCGCGGCCGGGCCCGAGGCCGCCGGCTCCGGCGCGGGCTCCTTCGCGGGCTCCGGCTTCCCCTCAGCGGCGCCCTCGGCCGCCTCGGGCTCGGCCTTCGGGGCTTCTTCCTTGGCGGCCGCCGGGTCTTTGTCGCCTTCCTTCTCCTCAGGCGCTTTGGCGGCCTCCGGGGCCGCCTTGTCCGGCTTCTCCCCCTTGGCCTCCTTCGCCTCCGCGGGCTCGGCCGCCGCCGGGGCCTCGTTCTCCTTCGGGGTTCCCTCCTCCTCCGTGCCCGCGCCCTCCGCCTTCTTGTCCTTGTCCTTGGCCTTCTCGTCGTTCACATTGTACCCCTTCTTCTTCTTGCTCAGCTTGCCGCCCATCTTGGAGCTCTGCAACAGCACAAAACGAGACAAAACAAAGAGAGTGACTCGTGGGTCCACACTGCGTGTTTGTGTGACTGAATTCATAGTCACTTTCGGAAATCCTAACCTTTGGGTCATGGCGTGGGGGGCGGGGGTTGAAGCCTTTTGGGGGGGGGTTAGGTCATGAAGGGGAGACTTCAAAAAGGCCCGTGGAATAGGGACCCCCAGAACCCCACTAGGCCCCTTCCCCAAGTGGGAGAAGTGAGTTTTCTACTCGGCAAAAACGATCCTCGTCAGACACAGAACTGAGAGAAATTTCTGTTGTTTATAAACTACTCAGTCTGTGGTAATTTGTTAGCGTAGCTCCAACTGGAAGATACTTGTTGAGTATGAAAATTAAGAGAGGTTTCCATTTACAAAGTTAAGATTTTAGAACGCTACACTTTAGTCAACGATTTTGTCACAATTGAAAAAACAAGGGAATCATTACAAACATGTGAAGAGCTAGGTGAGAGAATGTCTAATTACAAGTTAAGGAAATAATAAAGTGAGCTTAAATAGCCAGTGACTGCAGAATAACTTATCAAGCCTACAAAGGTGGAGTGCTATGTTTGTTATCTGCCTTCCCAGGTACAACTCAAACACTAAGTAGTGAACACTTGTGGACAAAATGGCAGTGGCGGCCATTTTAGATCCATAGTACAGCTAGTTAAAACTCTTCATAATTTTAAAATGCTTTCCTGAGCTGTAGTAAAACACAAACCACACATTTCTAGAAGGGGGAAAAAAAAAACAAAAAACTAACTCCTTTCATACTCTGTTATTCGTCTATATGTTCAGCATATATATATTCAGGACAAAGGCAATTAGGATTTGGTTTATCTTCTTGTTAAGCAAAATGAGAAGTGCAATATCTCCAGTTAGGAATGGTTTGTTCATTATGTTATACTTATTCATTCCTTTTCAAGTTGTTTTTGGCAGAAAGAAATAGCTTCATAGTAATATAAAACTGTTCTTCATAATCAATTTCCTGATGAGACATCAACTAGATATGCAAAGTTAATGATTATTAGCAGTTCCTTTCATTCAAAGTGAAGTCTCCAACTTTTGGAGGCCCACACTGATTCTGGCATAAGAACCTCCAAATGTACTTGAATCCTGAGTTTTCTTCTCTGGAACAAAGCATGAGCCCAAATAAATAACTATCTGCAAATAATAGTTCAGTGAACAGTTGCCACAACTGAACAGACACTGCATTTTTTTAAAGTGCATTTTTATGAATCCGCTATCAGGGAGTACCCACTGAACTCTAGCTCTTTAGAGAAAAATTAGTTGCTTTTCCTCAATGAAGCCTGACAAAAACAGCACACCCGTTAGTCCCCACAAGTATAAGTCCAGTGAAAAGTAAGGGCCTTACTTGGGCCCCTGTAGAGATTAGAAAGGCCACCTAATTGGGAGAATTGAAAGCACTCCTTGACTATGCATATTTTTTTTAAATATCTCCATTTACAACAGAAATTGTTGTTTATTCATTATACTCCTTGGCATCCTGATTTGTAACAGTAAAATAACCTACATTTATCTTATTTAAAAATCAGCTGTTGGGTAAGAGAGCACTGTTCTCCAGTCAAAATTTGTCTCACTTGAGCCTCCCTGGTGGTGCTGGGGTTAAGTCTCAGCACTATCCAGCTATCACCAGCCACTGCTGCAAGAGTTGGATCCTGACCAGGGAACTGACCCACAGGGCACAGCAGACCTCTCCTGTCTGACCCACTGCTCCCCTCAGCAGTGTATTTCAGTAGATCTGCTGGTTCTGCTCCCCCACTCTATCTCTGGTGAATCCTCTCAACAACCCCCCCAAACCCTCACACCTCTGACCTACACCCAGTATGCCTAAATAAAATAATAAATCTTAAAAAAAAATTATCTCACTCTATTTGCTAATTTCATACCTGAAATGACTTAATCATTTGGGTAGAAAAAAAGCAGTAACCTGAAAGACGGCTAAAATACGATCCCTATTCTCAAAGAAATTTTTTATTAGGTTACTAAAGAATTTTTCTTCCATGTCTTTTTTTTCTTTAAAGGTGTTTTTTGGTGATGACCCACTTCAGACATCCAATGGGCTCTATTTTACTTAATTTTTCGTTATCTCTCCCTCAGAAGTGGTAGCAAATTCATTTAATCAAAATGCAATCAAATACAATTTAAAAGCAATAAATGAAAATATAAATAAACTGCCCATTCTTTTAAATTATAGTCTATAGCTCCTTCTTTGAATACTTAGCCAGGATGCACTATGGTCTGTATCAAATATAATTTCAGCTATGATATTTCAAGACACACTTTGGTACATCAAGTGAAAGCCAAGAAACAGAAAATCTGACAGGTCTGGCTTTCAAATTTCCTCCCAGATGTATAATAGAAACCCACATACCAACTTAGAAATTACAGAATAGAAGACAGAGTATAAGTGAACTTCAATCTGTGCCGTGAACATGGCCCTGGAGAGCCACTTTTGGACACCAACACATGAAATTCTATATCGCTACCTCCAGAGACTTAAAGTCTTGTTGGCTGACAAACTTAAAATCTAGGTTACTAAAATTGATTTTCTGAGACACAGTTTGGAATCACTTGCTATTCTTTATTTGAAACCCAGCTGCAATTCGTTTCTGGGTAGAAAATGAATGTATATAATCAAGAAGAAAATATGTCTCCATTCTGTTCATCATTCAAACAAAGTTAACAAACAACCCTATTCTGGCTAATCTACTTGTGCTAGTGAGGTATCAGAGGGAAGCTTATAGAATCTACTAGAACCCTGGAAGAGCAAGGTAATTATTTCCCCAGAGGATATGCATACATACACCCAGAGGTAAATTCAAATTACAATTTAAAATCTATTAACTGAGTGCTGGGCAGTCTTGATTCCAAAGACATTACTGAATTATTTCATTTGATCTTCTCAAAGTTCCACAAGGTAGTATACCTTCTCTTTTACAAAAGGAAATTCTAAAATTTTATCAAAAGGAAATTCATGTAGCACTACTTTAAGCAAAAGACCAACTCCAACAAAGTAGGTAAGGCTGGAAGGCACAGCTACAAGGTCACAGGGAACCTTATGGATCTGTTGCCCAGAGCTTTCATCCCAACCTGGGATGATCCAGAACTCCAGAGGTGGGCAGAATATGGAAGAAATTCACTCTTTCAAGTACTCTGTGGAAAGCCTCTAAATGTTTCATTCCCCACCCCCTTTGCTAGTGGAGCTTTGTATCAAGATCTTTGGAAATAAGAGAGATGGGCATTATTTTAATTATTCTTTTCATTTTGATTACATCTGAGTCTGAAAGAAATCATTTGGTGTAGAACGTTGGATTTCCACATTAAAAAAAAAACAAAACAAAACAGCAGTTTAACAAAATACAACTGGTAATCTATCCTGGAAGTCACTCAAACTACATCTATGCAACAGTGATGGTGCTAAGACTATCTTTGCATTTCTCCACATTTGGGATACTCACTAGCCACTTAGTGTCCAGATAAGAAACTCAGACCCTTGCTGACACACTTAACTCCATGTGTAGAAACAATGACCAGACACTAAAGCTGACCTCCAAGGAAAGCAACCCTTTAAAATTACAAGAGGGTCCTCCGTGGTGACACAGGTGTTAAGGTCTCGGCACTATCAAGCCATCGCCATTCACTGCAGCACGAGTTCGATCCCTGGCCGGGGAGCTGACCCACATAACGCAGCAGACCTCTCCTGTCTTACCCACTGCTCCCCTCAGCAGTGTATTTCAATAGATCTGCCTATTTTGCTCCCTACTCTGTCTCTGGAGAATCCTCTCAACCCCTCCGCCCCCCACTGCACCCTCTTGGCCTGCACCCTAGTTCTTGAATGCATAAATAAATTTAAAAGAATAGAATAAAATTACAAGAGAATTCTATGTCACAAGGGGCATACTGGATTTATAGCTTGAAATTGACAGAGAAAATGACTTAATCAACAGCAGCGGAGAGAAGAACATGGGTGTATTTAATATGGAAAATTCTGGAAAAGAATTGTCTCAGGGTATCTTTGCACACAGGGGCACGCAACATTTTAAAATATGCTATAAAATGTCAAAAAAAGGTTTTTGGCATTTGTGTTATAAGCTTGTGCCTCTTGGCTGGTTATATATATGGGAAAGAGGTTTTAAAAGTTATCTGCTGTCATCACAGTACTAATATTAAAATTAGTCTACATCTTGATCTGAATGTTTTATGAACTAAAGATTCTCAAAATGTACCCGAGTCTCTCATATATTAACAATCTCTTACACCATGAACTCATTTTCCAGACAGAAGTCAAAATTACAGATCAGTTATCAAATCCAGTTTCTCTGAACTTGAGCTGCAACTGGAACAAAATATCAGTTCATCTTCCCACTACTTCACTTGTCTGAGGAAACAAGCGAAAATTCCATTTCAGTCAACAGAATGACTAGCTTCCAGTTAACTGCCTCAATTTATGTTTATGAGACAAACATTCGATCTACATCTTATCTCAGCTAATAAGATAAACAAGATATTTGAGGGAAGACAATACTGATCAATGCTAAAGTTTTTTCTCTTATAAGCAACTTATAGTTTGATACTTTAAGAGGATTAACATACAGTGTTTCTAAATCACACACAATACCTTGGAACCTAGCCCCCCATTTGATAAAACCAAGTCTCTACCTAGTCAATAATCCCAGTTGGCTAGAAACAAATATTCCAGAAGATAATGGAAACTGGAATCTTGGGAATATTACATAAATATTCCGCTTTTTGGCAAAGAGAGGAGACTACCATTCTAGCAGAGTTAGCTGATCAAAGCAAGTTGGGGTGAGAGGTGGGAATACCGGTGGGAGGCCATGAAAGGTGAAGGGGGGATCAGCAGCACTTCTTGTTGGATTTAGCACCTGTCAGGGAGCCCAGACAGGGTTTGCATCCATGTAATATACACCCCCACACCCCAAGGCTGATGGCATAGGATGTTG